GCCCAGACAGGCCGAAGCTGCAGGCGAGAACTATTTTTAGACACTCCGTAGGGACCAGCAAGAGGAGTGGGATGACAGGCCCCCTCCCCCTCCACTCGCTTCCATTCACTCTCTTGAGCTTTAACCACCAGTACTTCCTTAACTCGGGCCTTGCCAAAACAATCATCTTAAAGGCTCCGACAAACAGCAAACTTGGCACACACAAACCTTGACCAAAAATACAACAGGAAAAACCAAAAGAAAACATTTTTTTTTTTTTTAATCCCCGAATGCCCTTTTTCAGTGCTTGGGGGGGGGGTTATGGGGTCCCTGTTAACCGCCTGAGACTACCTAGTCTGACATCCATTATTTCAAACGAGTCAAAGTAGCCATGGCAATGCGTTGCATGCCTCTGGCAAGGCGAGTGAGTCGTTTGGAGCTTCTGCGGGCTGCTGATTGCCTGCGGGTCTGGGGCCCACTGGGTGCGACACTCTGGGACCATGACTTCGTGACTTGGGTGGCACAGGGAGATACGGTTCCAGAGGCAAAACCCTTCTCATATCGCGAGCAGCGACACGGTCTTTTTTTTTATTATAGACAGTCTTTTTTTTTATAGAGTATCTATGGCCTGTGGGTGATTTTTGGTAACAGCTGTGATTGGTTGTTTACGCCATGTTCGTTGCCCTCTCATCCCCCCCTCTTCTTGTCCTTTCCTCCTTTCCCCCTTCTGTCCCTCTATTTCTTCCCTCCCTTCCCCCCTTCCTTTCTTTTCCCTCTCTCTGTCATGTTTTGTTTCTTCAGCACTCAGATTGGCAGAATGGAGATTCGCCAACGAATTCCTTCACGAAGCCAAGTCGGAGCGTCGGCCATTGCCCCCTTGCGGCCTGTGCTTCCTATTGGACGTTCTGTTGGGCATTCCATCGAACGGTATGCCAGGAAGCTGACAGCGCAAGTGAATGAAATTGTTGACAAGATTTCAAAAGAGGAGGTGTGTGTAACCGTCCGCAACCTTTTCGCTGAGCACCTTCTTATTGTCCATATTCCAGTCCTTCAGTGGTTTCCACTGTTCTCTCTCTCCATCATTAGGATCGTCAATACGGGCACAACAAGCCTCTGAGACCTCTTTTTTTAATCTTTTTTTTTAAATTTGTTTGTAAGGATGTTTTGAGACTTGTGACCTTTCAATGGGCTCATTTGGCATGTTAACACTCTGTTTTCTTTCTGCGCTGAATGAGAAATGACACACACCTGCATCGTGGTTTAAGTTACATGTCGATTGAAGATTATTGGGACATGGACATCCTTCCGTGCAGATGAATCTGAGTTTCAACTCCAGTCCGTGTCTCCTTGTACTGCGTTTGATCTCAGTTTTTTGGGACAAAAAAAATTGCACTCAGTAAATCTCAGTTTGGACCTATGCTGGGGCACAGGGCATGGGCCCGGGCATGTTGCGCAGGCGGAGACCCACCCGGGAAAAATACTGGGCGGGTCGGGTCAGAAAGAGGCAAGGACCCCCAAAAAAAAACAAACAAACAATTCTGACTTCAGGCCAGGATTGCACTTGGGCCTCATTTTCCAGTTCAATGATGGGTCACCCAGGGAGGTTTCGGAGGTATAAACAGGGATCAAAGGAGTTTAAAGGGGTTTAAACTTTAAAGGGGTTTAAAGGGGCCTCATTTTCCAGTTCAATGATGGGTCACCCAGGGAGATTTTGGAGGTATAAACAGGGATCAAAGGAGTTGAAAGGGGTTTAAAGGTATATATCTTAGCTCTTGTTTTCCATTCTATCTGTATCTTGGAATAATGAAATTGTTAAAGAACGTCGAGAAGACCGTCAGCCAAGAAGTTGTTTGTATTCAGTGTGGACTCAGGGTCGGACTCAGTTTGCACTCTGTAAGAGTTTTCAAATTTCAAGCAAAGAAAATTGGACTTAGAAGACCTGAGTTGTGGCTCTGTTTTGACTTGCTGTGGACTCAATATGGATGCAGCGTGGATTCAGTTTGGACTGAGGTCTGGACTCGAGTTTGCACTGAATCCATTCTCAGTTGGACTCAGCCTGGACTCAGATTGCAGTCAGTTTGGACTCAGATTGCACTCAGTTTGGACTCATATTGCACTCAGTTTGGACTCAGTTTGCACTCAGTTTGGACTCAGTTTGGACTCAGTTTGGACTCAGTTTGGACTCAGTTTGGACTCGGTTCGGACTCGTTTTGTAACTCAGTTGGACTTATTTTGGACTCAGTTTGGACTTATGTTGGACTCAGTTTGGACTCAGTTTGGACTCAGTTTGGACTCAGTTTGGACTCAGTCTGGACTCAGTTGGACTCAGTTTGGACTCAGTTTGTAACTCAGTTGGACTCATTTTGGACTCAGTCTGGACTCAGTTGGACTCAGTTTGGACTCAGTTGGACTCAGTTTGTAACTCAGTTGGACTCATTTTGGACTCAGTAGTTTGAACTCAATGTGGACTCAGTTCGTATTCAGTCTGGACTTGGTTTAGACTCGGTATGGACTCGGTTTGCACTCTGTGTGAACTCAGTTGGAGTCAGGTTGGAACAAGTTTTGCGGCAGGCGACAGATCGAATCGTAACCAGTCGTAAGAGCATCATAATCTATCCAACTCTATCCTCTGTTTGGAAAGTTCTGGGCTCAGAAACTGATGGTTTAGAGAGTCAATATAGTCACATGAGTAGTGCAAACTCTCCAAGTCAATTCCAGGAATATCAGTTATAACCACTCGAGTAGCGCAATCTATCCAAGTTTACCCCTCTGTCTCTAGAGCTCGGGGCTTAGGGGCCGATCGTTAATAGCCACTCGCGTCTAGAACAGTCCATCACCAAGTCTAGTCTGTGTTTGGAAAGTTCTGAGCTTAGAACCTGGTTGTTATAGCCACGTGCTTAGCACTATCTTTCCAAGTCTATCGTTTGCTGATAAATGTCTTAAGCTTTGAACGGCTTGAACCTTGTTGATATAGTCGAGCAATAAAGACTGAAATGTGAAACGTGATGAAGGCTCCATGGTTGCAGTATGCTGGTAGCGGGGCCTTGGGGGGAGGGCTGTTTGAGTGGTTGGCCTTGGGGTGGTCTGATGAGGGTGCGTGTGTGTGAAAAAAAAAAAGAAAAAAAGAATTGTGAATCTTTCATGCAGTATGTTCCTCCTCCCCCCCCCCGGGCCCCCTTTAAAACCCTCTGTTTATGTTATCTTCTCTATGAAACTGTTTTGTTCGGAATTCAAGAATTTCGTGGGACACCGTTGATTTCGTGATGAGGGTGAAATCCGGTGAATTCTTCAAAGCAGTACCCCCAACATGTTTCTTTCTTTGAATTGCAGGATTTTCCATTGTTGCCATTCGCTGAATGTTAAAGGCTCATTTTCCCAAACAGCTGGCTGTCTTGTTTGTTTGTATGTTATTGTATTCCCTTGTTTGTGGATAGAGCAGCATACGGAAGAGGAGACGACTCTCTACGACACACTCTGGCTTTTGCTTGTGAGTGTCATTGCCGTTCCGCTGTTCCAGAAGCTTCCAGGGGGTGAGTGAATGCAGAGAAGTCCACATGACCATCATAAATGCATGCATTGCATGTCAGGAGTTGTTTTGAAGCTTGCTTCCTTGATTGATTGATGGATGATGGAATGACTCTTGTCCTTTGTGAGACGGAATGATTGGGCCGCCGTAACGAATTCAACAGAGTGATGAAAAAAAAAAGAAAGCTTAGAAATTGAAGATGCGGGTATCGAAATTAAAAACTTGTCGACAAGTCTTGGAAAATGTTTGGCAAAGGGATGTAGTTGTCGAGATGCCATGGAAGCTCTGGCAAGCCTTGCCGTAAGAGCCAAATTTTTGCGGCCGGGCCAATACTGGGGTGAGAATACAACGACAAATAAGGGGCAAAGCAGCGACGACGACGATGGATGTGCGAAAATGGCACAAGACTTCAGCCTCATCTTGAAAATGCATCACAAATCACTAATGGAAGTTTCATCGACATTGGGAAACAATCACAAATGCATTAAATGAGAAGCGTGGTGGCGAAAACCCTGTCGTTGCCTGGGCATTAGCAATTTTGTGCACCACGGCTATTACCCCTTGCAACTAGAGATGGTTCACGTGGAGAGTTGGTACTTCGATAGTGAAGGATTTTATTGTTGGATGAAATCTATTAAAAGTAGTACGCTTTTCACATCAGTGTAGTCCGCTATCTTCCTCCATCACTCACATGCATCTGANCTTTTCACATCAGTGTAGTCCGCTATCTTCCTCCATCACTCACATGCATCTGAACCTGCCACTATGCTCTCTCTCTCTCTCTCTCTCTCTCTCTCGCGCGCACGCGTGCACTTTTTCTCACACACACAGAACTGTGGATCTCCTCTTCTTTCCTTCCCCTCCTTCCCTCTCTGTCCTCCCCTTCCACATGATCTCACCTCATTCTCCTTGCTCACCATCATGTCTCTCCCCCTCTCTTGCCCTTGTCATGAATGGTTTGTCATCCACTAGGTGGCCATTTTGGTGGTGTACAGAAAACCCTGGAGCGTCTGCAGCCTTTGCCAGCTGTTGTCAATCCACCTAGTCATGGATTTATGGAATTACCCACTCATGGAAGTGCCTACCTACCTACCTGTTGAATTACCCGAGCTGTTGAAAGGTGAAACCTCCTAACCAGTCCGCCCGGGCTTGGAAATCCTGAGACTAGCCCAGTTGGAATTTACCTGCCCAGTGTAGGAAGCGCGACGCATGATGGTATTTCTATGGTGTGAAGGTTGATGTACGTTTTGGCTGAGCTATTCTCGGGATTGCTGAGCTGTGTGAGTCATTTCGTTTCTTGACGCTTGAAGCGAATGTAATAAGGCAAACAAAAAGTGAAAAAAATAACAACAACAACTTTGCGACTTTGAAATCAACCTAATCCTCGTTACAATGTGAGTTTGCGCGCCTACTTTGTTTTACTTTGTTTTAGGGTTTTTGTGACAGCTTGGCTTTGCGTTTTTCATCTTGTAAGAGTGGCAATCTTGTGGTCTTTTTGCTCAAATCAATTATTACCTGGCAAATCACTCACATGTGGAATCTGTCTCCTACTGCGTCGTTTGGTAGCAGCAGTAGAATTCTAGTGGGAAAGAACGAACGCAGCAATGGCTGCTGATGTACAGAGAAGGTAAGTAGAACAAACATAGGATAGTCGTCCATGGTGGTTGGTGGCACACCAGTCAGTCGAAGGTTTGACCCTGACCCCGTTCCACGTCCTCCTGCCACTTTGACTCTCCCTCCTTCGACCTAACGGCATTGACTTGACGCTACTTGTACCTGCTTCCTTGCTAACAAACTAGGATATCAATCCGGGCTGGCCAACAGCCAATTCAAGGACAGGCCACAAAGTCCTCGGAATTCTTTAATGTCGCAAACAGGACGACGAGGCCAGGCGGAAGATACCCGGAGCCAGTCCTCAAGGGGTCGGGGTCGCGGGACTGCGGACTTCAATTTGACACACCCACAACCATGTCAAGGGCAGTGCTGACCTAAAACGATGGCTGTGCATGAAGGCAATTCCAGTTGGCTGCTTCTAGTGGCATTACTATGATTGCACTGGCGGTGGATGGGAGGTCAGGCACGCAGAGAAACACACACACACACACACACACACACACACACACACACACACACACACACAGAGAGAGAGAGAGAGAGAGAGAGAGAGAGAGAGAGAGAGAGAGAGAGAGAGAGAGAGAGAGAGAGAGGACATTTATGAGTATTGAATGCGTGCATGTAGGAGCACAAGTTGGTATGCAATGCATCCTTTCTGCATGGTTTTTAAATTCGTTTTTGTGGGCGAAGCTGCGACAGGGGATCTTAGTGATTAATAAACAGGGAAATGATGAAGCAGTTGAAAGCCAGTCACTGGTGACTAAACCAATGTTCTAGTGACTTTGCTATGTTGTGCTTTGCATATTCTTTGTCTTTCTGTTCTTTCAAAATTCCTTTTTGCAGGCAAAGCCGCAACAAGTTCTCTTTGTTATTAATCAACAGCGAAATGATTATTAACTAGTATTAAGCAGTTTAAAGTCAGTCACTGGTGACTAAACCAATGTTCTAGTGTGTTTGCTATAATGTGCTTTGCACGTTCTTTCTTTTTGCAGCTGAAAATGATTGGAAATGGGAGAGACTATTAATGGCGGTCAAAGGGTAAAGGGTTTGGGAAAGCGAAAGCTCCAGTCGTGCGAAGTGATTATGACAGCGGATGATTGTTTTTGGATTTTGTTAGATTTGCAGCTGATGATTATTGATTCGGTCATCTGCAGGGAGTCCGGTGCTGGGATATTTGGCTGGAGGTGCCCTAATAGGGCCTCATGCACTCTCCATCATAAAGAATGTGAATGAGACGAAGGAGCTGGCAGAGTTCGGTGTTGTCTTCCTCCTGTTCACAATTGGGTTGGAGGTTAGTTGTGCTCTTGATTGGCATTCCAAATGTCATTTTCCCCGAGTCTCAACTGATGAACATGGGGCTTCACTGCATCCTCTGCATGTGTTTTTGTATTAAAATATATGCAATATATGTTTGCCATCTGTTTCTGAAACTTGAAGGCGGAATCTGTTCAGTAACATTCCAATACCCTGCACATGATTGCATGGATGTGTGCACCCCATGGAGACATGTGACAGCTGCAAAGTGAATATGAGTACACACCCTGCTGTTTTGGGTGCTTGTGATAAGCCAAGTTCCGTACCTCGCGGCTTCGTGTACCCTTTGGACTAAAACACAAAGTAAGCCCCAAAGTTCGGCTCTAGATTCTATACTAATTCCAGGAAACGGGGTCCGTTTTTGAATTTTGTGGCCCAATTGCATGCATCTGTTGAGATTGCCCCTGTCCTCGTTCAAACTAGTTTCGAGTGGCCGATTAGCAACAGTGCGGGAATTTCAAAGAAACGGTTATGAATTTTGGTTGACGGTCATTTGTCAATCAACACCCGGGCGGCCATTTTTGAATTCTTGCTTGCCAAGCAAGCTCGCTCCCTGATTTGCGCGCGCATGCCGACTTCTTTTCTTGCTGTCCTTCGTCTCTGCGCACCTCTTCGTCTTCCTCCAGACCCTTCGTCCGATCCCTGCCTTGATTCTTCCGTGCGATGATTGGTCATCACTTTGGGTTGGTCGGATCAAGTCGCAAGAGCAAAACTTACGCGCACGGCTTGATCGACCACCGCAAGTGAACAATTTTTTGATCGTCCAGCCTTAGTTGACCTTTCAGAACCTTCTTCCTTCTGTCCTGCTCATCTACACCCCTCGCCGCCCATACTGCACGCTGGTGCCCCGCCGCCTTCCACGCTATAAATTTGCGCAGCCCCTTCCTCTCCCTATCTATGATCTCGGCTGCAATACTGCGTGAGCTATGAGCGAAGACCACGGCGCCGAACAGGCTCGGCGTTCCCAAGGAACGGGCGGAGTGACGGCATGAGGTGGAACTAGTGGTAGACTTGGGGTAAGGCTGTTGGAGGGACTGAGCGGTGGTGGAGATGGGAACGTAGCCAGCGGCAGGGCCTTGTGGCTATGGGCCTTGTGGCTATGGTTGGCTTGCGTTCAGTTGGGTTGGTGGCTGCGCACGCGGAGTGCCAGCAGTGCTGTAATTTTTGAATAGCAAGGGACTCACTTCTTCTCCATCGCTGCTTTGTCCAAGTGTCATGTGTGCCTCAGACTAAGTGTGGGTACTCAGTCGCATGCAGGCTTTGGGTGTGAGTGTCTATGGATGCTGAAGGCTTCGCTGTCAGAAAATCTATGGATGTATGAATGTGGAAAGACTGGGTGGTAGTCTTTGTTGTCTTTGCACACATGAGTGAGGTCTTTGGGGTCATTGGGTCTTGGACGTCCGCTTGCATGCATGAGTGTGCTGATGCCCTCTGTTCCCCGACTAACTGCTAATCCCCGTGCCTAGTGCGCATGTGAGATCGTTGCCGCCCTTTTTCCTCTTCGCTCCCGGGTGCAAGCGCCACACGTCAAATTCTCCGCTCACCCGGGCAGGTGGGCCGGGCGACCAGGGACATCGGGCGTGAGGACTTAGTCGATCCGCCCAACCTGTCTGCCTCCCGGCCATCGCCGTTTTGACAAGGTGACAATTTTGGTTGAAGACATCGTGAATATCTGCCTTTTGATAATTGGGAGTGGGCGGTGTGGGACGAGTTGGGACTTGTATGGAGGGGCCAACCTTTCCCCTACCAAGTCCAGGGGGGGGCGAAACATCCATCTCAGGTGGTGAGCCCGAAGTGTTTTTTCATGAAAGTCAAAATTTTTGAGAGTATAGTATCTGGAACTTAATCGAGATGTATTTGGATGTAGCTGGATGCCCGGGCTCTGCACCACCGACAGCAGGCTGCCTCCACACTGTTTAAGATGCCAGGATGGTAGCCATGATAGTGTCCATGTCGGTTGTATCTGGGCTGTCAAACAGTGAGGAGTGACATGCGGTAGAAATCGGGGTGGGGTGTGGGAGCAGGCGGTAGAAATTGGGGTGGGGTGTGGGGGCGGGTTGGCGGGAATAGGTTGGGGCGCAGTTACTGGATTAAATCACCACTCCATCCGGACCTGTTTTGACAAACCAAAAATAATTGTGGTACCCTTCCCCACCGAACCTCTACCGCGAATGGGTGCTCCAGATTTTGGCCTGGTACTTGATGACAAGAAGAATGAACGATGGAGGGGATGTTGGAGTGGTGGTTTAAACTACTTGTACCTCCGAGCCTGTTTTTGCCAACCCTGAATTTCACTGCGCGCCGAAATTTGCCGAGCCTGGGTCCCACTCTGTTTTAATTTCTTGTACTCTTGGGAAATGGAAAAAAAAACACAAAACAAATGAAAAGAACGAACTAAGCAACAACGCGCCGGGACGTGAAAGCATCTGTATACAGAATCTCGGGTACATGTGAGAGTATGCCCTCCCAACGGGCATTACAGCGCTTCTCCGAAATCATGGCTGTATGGGGGCTGGGGGGGGCGGGGGGGGGGAGAGCATAAACTATTTGAATGTGAAAGCAGCTGGATACGAAATCTTGGATACAATGGGCGTTATTGCCCTCAGAAGATGACGGCAGCACACAACAGGAAAGAAAAAAATAACAACAACTGCAGCACTATTTGGACGTGAAAGCAGCTGGATACAATATCTTGAGCACATGTGCGCACAAAAACAAAATCAATCAGAACTTCAGAAGAGAAAAGAAAAAAACACTGATAGCAAAAAAAACGAACTGACTTTGTTTTTGGGTAGATACGTTCACTTCAGTACTGATGTGAGCACACCTCCTTCACAGCCTTCACCGCCGTCCATCGTGTTTTTTTTTTTTTTCCTTTCTTTTTTCTATTCGGAAATTGTGATGCTGCCGAGCCTTCGATACTTGCGAACTCTTTGGGGACACTGGAAAAACTGCCAGTTTTTCCTATTTTCCCATGGTTGGCGAAGGTACTAGTGGTTTAAGGCGGGCCCTACAGATATGGATGTTGACCCTGCTGGGGGGGACTGAATGGATGAGGATTGCATCCAGGTATTTAATCAATGTAAGGAATTGGCATTGACAACACACTCAGCTTGATGCAGTGAGTTAATTGATTGCCAGAGGGCATTTCAACTTATTTGACTGATTGGAAGGATATTGAAATTGACTGATCGTTTGCATGGGTTAATCCGCAACTTAGTCGATGTCCATCAGGAAGAGTTGTTCTTTTCTTTTCCAATTTCTTCATCAGATTGGTAGAGGATTGAGACATTGATATGTTTTCATTATCTGTTGTTGTGTCTGTGTTTTCTCAGCTCTCGTTGGAACGGTTGAGGTCGATGAAGAAGTTTGTCTTTGGGCTTGGGACTGCACAGGTTTGGTTTGCAGACCTGGAATCACGGAACTTACCCAATCTGAACCAGAACCTACACCCAACTTCATACCTGAAGCTATGAACCGCAAAGTGAGCAACCAAAATCCTTGCCTCAGTGGCTTGGAACATCTCCATGTTCCTCTCTTCTCTTCTCTGGAATTTCACACACTTAGGGCACTTTTTTCCAATTAAGCCTGTTGGCCATGGGTCATGTCTCTTTTCCTCGGGGCAAGAATCTTGGTTCAGCCAGACGGCTCACTTCGCATGGACGTGTTTGGTAATGCTGAGGCTTGGGCGTTCCCTATCATATGTCATCCCAGTGCTTCCTCCAATGCCCCAACTCATCAGCCCGGAGGTGTGTCGGCGTGGCCTCCCTGACACGACGCATGCCTGTTTTGGGGTCATCTTCCCAGTTTCCTGGCCAGAGGTTGGACTGCATATGTGCACGGCTGGCAGTGTCAGCTACCCACTCTTGCCAGACGGCTCGCAAACTGGTTTCGCTGTGTGGTGCGCTGGTCGATTGCTCACCCACTGCCGAATGCCAATTATGAGCACATGCAGCATCAGCCCTCCACAAAGCCACATGCAGTGGGCCCCCACGACTCCCGAATGCGAATATGGGCAGCATCAGCCCTTCATACAGCCACACCCAGTGAGCCCACCCTACCCCGTTATTCCTACCGGAGTGGCAGCTGCTAAAGTGGATACTGCAATTCCGCTGGAAACCTGGCCAGGCGCAGCAGGCAACATAAATGTTGTCGAAGTGGCTGCAGGGGATGACGGCCTGCATCCTGCCAACGCGGCTGCTGCTGAAAGTTCGCGTCCTCCTCCTCATCCACCACAACCTACGTCCTCTACTACATTATCCTCTCCATCAACTGCCGCCTGTTCTTCCTCTTCCTCCTCTTCTCCTTGCATGCCTCCCTTTGTCATCGTTCTCATCATCAACACATTCATGATCAGGTCAGCCATCACAGGGTGTGTCATCGGCGGAGGTATCTATTGTCAGATCGGCCATCAGAGAGGCCTCTTCGACGGAGATGTTCCCCATTTCCATTGCTGCCTCCTGGGTAGCGGCCTCGTTTCTACATGAACAGGATGATCATTGCGCCCCTGGCAGGGGTCAGAAATCTACTCTGACGCCATGCTCGCAACCCTCCGGAATGACATCATCGTGCAAGCCAAAACAGTATATATTGAGTCCGATGGCCACGCACAATGTGGTGATGATATTGACAGTGCTGCCGACCTCTGTGTGCGCTTGACACTACGTGCAGCCACCTCTGCAGCATTTGCATAACTGCGGTCTTCACCCGAAAATGACGCCCGGGCGATGCGTTATATTCGTTAAGTTGTAACGCCTGGGCGTTACATTCGGTAAATTGGTGGCAACTTCGGTGGTGCAA